CAGCACTTCTCAGGAGGAAGCTGATGAATTAAATTTTCATATAATCACATCCAACAACAAAGTAACTTAATTAACTTGAACGTGACCGCAGCAAATTTGCCTTATCTGTACATCCCTGAAATAAAAGCAAATATCTTAATAGATACAGGGAGCACTAAAAGTTTGCTGTCTTCGAAAATAGTTAATAAATTTTACAGAAATTATACTTTTCAAGAAGAATTTCAGATTCAAACACCTCACAATATTTCTTATCACGACCAAGCAGTATTAATACCAAGTTTTGATATTTTTAAAGACAAGAATAAGCATAAATTCTTTGTTTTTGATTTTAGCAAAAAATATGACGGACTGATTGGCATTGATTTGTTAGCACAACTACAAGCTGTATTGGATGTTAACAAGAAATTATTAATCACTCCGATTGTAAAAATACCAATTATTTTTGAATTGGAAAAAATTAATACAAGTAAAAGAATAAGTAACTTTAATTGTTCTATAACTATTCCTGCTAGAACACAACAAGTGGTAAAACTGCCAGTCAAGTACGAAAAAGGTCATTGCATTCTAAATTATATTAAATTCGATGAACAAATAGAGTCACCAGAAGCTATTACTAATATCGAAAATTATTTTGCAACAACAACCATTATTAATTCTAGATCAGAACCAATAACTATCAAAATAACTGCACCTTTTAATTCAGAATTACTGAATGTTAACGAAATCAATTTTATAGAAAAAATGGAAGTTGACGACGTTATTGAGGTTGACCCTTCCAAAGATAATCTACTGAAAGCTAATCTTAAGAATCTCAGATTACAACATTGCAATTCCGAAGAAAATAAAGCTATAAGAGATTTATGTTTAGAATTTAGAGATATCTTTTATTGCGATAAAATCCCTCTAGCATTCACCAATCAAATTCAACATAAAATCAATTTAACTGATGATACCCCAATCTTTACTAAGACGTATCGTTATCCCGAAGTCCATAAGGCAGAAGTAAAATCCCAAATTCAGAAAATGCTTGATCAAAACATCATACAAGAATCATTTTCACCATTTTCTAGTCCTATATGGATAGTTCCAAAAAAATTGGACGCTTCCGGTAAACGTAAGTGGCGTTTAGTAGTTGATTATAGGAATTTGAACTTACGAACGATAGATGACAAATATCCACTTCCGAATATCAATGACATCCTTGATAAATTAGGCAAAAGCCAATATTTCTCCACTTTAGATTTGGCCAACGGATTCCATCAAATTGAAATGCATCCTGAGGATATTCAAAAAACCGCTTTTTCGACTGAGAATGGTCATTACGAGTACAAGCGTATGCCCTTCGGTCTAAAAAATGCCCCCTCCACATTCCAACGAGTAATGGACAATATCCTTAGAGGTCTCCAAAACGAGGAATGTCTAGTTTATCTTGACGATATTGTCGTCTTTAGCACATCCCTTCGTGAACACATTAGTAGATTGAGAAACATATTTCTTCGACTACGTCAAGCAAATTTTAAGGTCCAACTTGACAAATCGGAATTCCTTCGCAAAGAAGTAAGTTATTTAGGACACGTTATTACACGTGATGGTGTCAAACCAAATCCAGACAAAATTGATGCGATAAAAAAATTCCCGATACCTAAAACACCCAAGGAAATTAAGAGCTTTCTAGGCCTTGTCGGTTACTACCGAAAATTCATTAAAGACTTTGCACGTATCACAAAACCTTTAACTAAGTGCCTCAAAAAGACCGAAAAAGTAATTCATGATTCAAATTTCATACTAGCCTTCGAAACATGCAAAAATTTATTGATCAACGCACCAGTACTTCAATATCCTGACTTCACCAAGCCATTTGTTTTAACAACAGATGCTTCGAATGTAGCCTTAGGAGCTGTTTTGTCCCAAGGACAAATCGGATCTGATAAGCCAATTGCTTTTGCATCCAGAACCCTGAATGACAGTGAAACACGATATAGTACCATTGAAAAAGAATTATTAGGCATAGTTTGGGCTTGCAAGTATTTTAGGCCATACCTTTTCGGCCGAAAATTCACAATATATACTGATCATCGACCTCTAGTTTGGTTATTCACAATGCGTGAACCCAGTAGTAAGCTCATACGCTGGAAACTTAGATTAGAAGAATTTGACTTTACCATTGTGTATAAAAAAGGAAAACTCAACGTAAATGCTGATGCTCTTTCAAGAATTCAAATCAATACCCTCGAAAATAAAATTGATACAGAATCAATGATCAATAATCCAGGCGATATAGATCTAGACCAACAAAATACCCTTGAGTATTTACGAAATCTTGCAGAGAGTTTTTCAACATACGATATTGATAACGACAAAAATACTGAACCAAATCAAACCAGTAATGCAGAGACTATTGAAACCCACATACCAGATTTACCTGATATCACTTTCGAACCAAGTACTTCTAAACAAAACCATGTAAAAATAGTGTCAGATATCCAAATTAAACCTCCTAAAAAGCCAACTAACTCTGATTTACAAACAGTACACACTACACAAAACGAAACAACTAATAATGGAATAAAAATTTTAGACGAATTGATTAACAATAAAGTAAATCAAATCCTTGTCTTCCCACATGCCCATAATAAATTGGATGTTAAACAAGAAAATTATGAACATCATAAAATAATTACTGTGAAAATCCCTAAAATCAATAATGAAAAATTAATTTTCCAATTTCTCCGAGACTATACAATCACGGATAAAACATATTGTATGTATTTCCATACAGCTGAATTATATCTTCAGTTCAATCAAATTTATCTACAACATTTCTCTGACCATGGCCCAAAATTATTAAGATGTACCAAATTATTAAATACCATTACTAATAAAGAAGAACAAATTTTATTGACAAGAAATCATCATGAAGGAAAAACTAATCATCGTGGTATCAATGAGACCATCGAATACCTTAAACGAAATTATTACTACTGGATAGGTATGAAAATTACTGTTTCCCAATATATCAATGTTTGTGATATATGTCAACGCGCTAAATACGCTAGGACAAAACCCTATCACCCATTTGTATTGACTGAGACACCCTCCAAACCTTTCCAAATAGTTCATATGGATGTATTTTTCTACAACAATAAAATATATCTAACTCTAGTTGATTCTTTTTCCAAATTTGCTCAAGCGATAGAAATTCTCAGTAAAAATGCCATCAATATATCAAATGCATTGATTAAGTATTTCTCTTATTGTGGTATACCTGAAACCTTGATAGCTGATAACGGCACAGAATTCAATAATGACACGGTTAAAGAAATCATGAAAGTCCATAAAATAAAGATTCATTTTACCACACCACAACATCATGAGTCTAATAGTATTGCTGAAAGATTCCATTCAACAATAATAGAACATTTACGTCTATTAAAAGAATCATTTCCAAATGATACCAGTAGTCTGATGGATTATGCTATTATAACTTATAATAGTTCCATACACAGCGCTACAAACCATACCCCTTTCGAATTAACACACGGACATACTAACTCTAGAGACCCAAATGAGATTTTCATACTAAAAGAATTTTATAGCGATTATGCCGAAAATCATAAAAAGAAATTAGAACATGTTTATGAGAAAGTTAAAGAAAATCTTATAAACAACAAGAAAAAGGTAAACTCTAAACACAACGTCAAAGGTGACGAAAATCGAGCTTTTAAATTAGACCAAATAGTGTTCAAACAAAATCCACTCAATCGAAACAAGAAAAATAATAAATTTATAGGACCATACATAATTACGCAAATATTAGAAAGAAATCGAGTAGAGATAGCAAGAAAAGATAATCTTAATAAAAAAGAAATTATTCATGTCAAGGAATTAAAACAACCTCCTTGTATTGTTTCAGACTTGCTACCTACACCCTAGGCGAACTAGACAAACCAAAATATCATGACTTGACTGATAATCCAGGATTATTGCCTCTGAAACTTGGCAACGCACAAAATCAGATTAATTCTTGGACTTTTATACAAGTTTTCGACATATCAGGAATAATCGATAATTTCTACATATTAAGTGATCAATATGAACGTATCGAAAGAGCTTTTGATAATGACACCACATTAGTTAAGAAATATAGACACATTTTCGAAAATTCTCATAATTTAATGCTATCTTTTAAAACCAAAATAATGACACAAATTATGACACTAAACCCCGTACTAAAACCTAGACAAAAACGAGGACTTATTGACGGTTTAGGATCAATAATAAAATCAATCACAGGTAACTTAGACCAAAACGATGCTAAAAAATATGAAACAGCTATTGATACTCTATCAGGGAATCAAATGAAAATTAAAACCTTAGTAAAAGATCAAATCACACTATTTCAAAAGTCAATCCAAATATTTCAAGATAATATCCAAAATTTAACTAAAAATCAAAAAATATTGGATAAACGTGTTGAAGAAATCGAAACGGTTTTAAACACAAGAAAAAAAGAAGATGCGAATAATTTCTACTTCTTTTATATCGAAATGATAATTTCTCAAATAGCGACCGAATTTCAAACTATCTATGATATCTTAGAAAAAATTGAAACTGCCATTACCTTCTCCAAAATAAATACCTTCCATAATTCAATAATTAACTCCAACGAATTGATAAATGAAATAAAATCAATTTCTATTCACCTGGACGATAATAAGTTACCATTCGAACCAAAAATCGAGAATTTGTTATTGTTTGAAAGAATACTAGAAATCAAAAGCTACGGAAAAGGTAATCAAATAATATTTATAGTTAAGATACCGATAGTTGAAAAAGAAAACTATAATTACTATCATTTATATGCACTGCCTATTGACAAAAATGATTCTTTTAAATTAATAATTCCAAACAACAAATATTTGATTATCAATGAGCAAAATCATTATTTCTCTGATAAACCATGCATCGAAATCATTCCTGAAGAATTTATCTGTCACGAAATGGATCCCACTAAAACTACAGAGGATTCACCATGTGAAACCCAGTTACTAAAATTCTCCCAAAACTTGTCAAATTGCCACCTGGTTCCTGTAAAAGTCAACCAACTGAAAATTCAGAAGATTGAAGCCAACCAATGGATAGTACTGAGTCCAGAACATACTGTGGCAGCTCAAAAATGCGACAACCAGAACGAGAAGATACCCTTAAAAGGAACATATCTAATTGAACTCCCTCCTAATTGTGAAATCGAAATAAATAACATTTATTTGAGAAACCTTAATAGTATTAAACGTCAATTCAAAAATATTAACTTTCCCAAATTAAATTTTGAATTATTAAAAGATAAAATTGTCACTAATATCAAACCTATCAAATTAGATGATATAAACTTAAATGAAATCAATTCAGTCAAGAACGCATTAGAAATCGAAGAAAAGAAGATCAACCAAATCGAAGAACAAGCAATCAACTTCAATACTATTAATGGCTGGACAATAATAACTTATCTAATAATTTTTGTAATAATTATCTTTGTCCTTTTTAAGCTTTACAAGGATAAGATATTTTCAAGAAACTCAAGAAAGAAGAAAGAAGAACCCGAAGAAGAATCCCCCAGCCAACCATTGCCAAATTCTGGCCCTAACCCCAGAATTTTACACTAAGGGCGGAGGAGTTATGTACACTCTATACATGGCCTCTTATGGATGAGAACCGTAACAACAATCCGACTTCGAGCGACCCACACGATTATTACTGCTGACTTTACATTTATACCATTTTATTTAAGCCATTGTAACGGATGAAAATTCGTCTTTATTCATTTGTATTTCGAGTAATAAAGTCCCTGCTTTTAAAAGTTTGTTTTTTAAAAAGTAACTTGCCCTAATCGAACCTAAAATTAGCGGGACGTCATAGGAATAAATTCTGAGTTTTTATTTGAAAGTATTTCTTTTTTTTTTTTCTATTTTCTCAAGAAGGATTGTAAATTTTTCAAAAGTAAAAATAAGTACAGAAACTGCTGTTTTTAGTTGCTTTATCCAATTATGCCAATTTCAAAAATTGGTGAAAGAGCCCATTCTGTCGACGTCCTACTCTTTTTTTTTCCCTCGATTTTAATTCGAAATAAATGGGCAATAACATCGACATCGAGCGTCAGCAAAATGCCATGCCGTTTTGCATATTAATGAAAAACGGCGCAAGCTAAATTTTAAAATTTTAGTTAAATTTACTTTAAATAAAAGTTTATGAAGCATAGCTGTTTGACTTTCAGCTGCAGCCGAGTCTGTTGCCTGTTGGTTTACCGTAGTTTAAACCACTCATTAGTTTTTATAGTTTGGCTAGTAGGTATCTATAAAATTTTCTCTTTTAATTTTGTTTGGAAAATATAAAAAAATAATAAATGTTTAAAGCCACGATATATCAACCTTGAGAAGATTTTGCATTAAAATTCATCCACCCAATCAATGGAAAGCTAGGTTCAAACAACGTGGGAAAAATTTAACACTTCTTTTCTTTTCCATCGCTAACTTTTTATGTATTGTACCGATAACTGATTACCAGAAATATACATTGTATGTACACTATAACCCAGAACCTTTATTGTTTTTATAAATTTCTATAAAAATTGCTTGAGATGTTGTATATCCGCGAAGCAAATACTTACGTGATTTTTGAAAATATAAACAATTGTAGCGCTATTTTAAGTCTCCCTGTATATCGTAATGTTTAAGAGATTTTTCGACTTACAGTCCAACGGTTATCTCGGGCGCCACCCTTAGGATTAAAGTGGTTAAGGGCCCACGTGCACTAGGTAGCTTTTATACAGTGGAGAAACGGTATGCCAGGGGTCATAGATACGATACGGGTAGAAATAAAACCAACAATTAAGGAAAATAAAGCATCGTTCGTGTTTTCAAAATATACTCATATTAAGCTAAACCAGTGCTTCTCAATCCTAACCAATAATCACCCTGTATATTGTAAACCTTAGAACCTACTTCAGAGAGAAAGGAGAACCTGGGACAGTATGCGTGCTTTCGGTTACGGTAAATTGCGATCAAACGATACGGTATAATATTTAGTGTACGGACGGTTTAGTGACGTCAGACGGTAAAAGACTCTCGATCGCAAACGGATAAAACGACACAAATATGAGACACAGAACAGACAACGAACCACCGTCGCTTCCACCTGGTATACATGATTCGCAAATATAAAATACGCATGCGCGTCTGACATTGTTGAACAGTAGGTTGCTTACAGGTAAGAGACAGAATAAAATGGAGAGAGAGAGAGAGAGAGAGAGAAAGCATCGCCATACTCCCCATACGAACTGTAATACGGGGTCCTGTTGGTAGGGCGAGATGGCGTAGCTGTACTCCCCTTGAGTCCGATGTAGCACGGGTCTACACCGACGCAAGGAGGAGAGCTTATTTTTAATATGGCCAACAGAGAAGTGTCTAACAAGCCTAATCTACGCTGTCATACCATTTGTAATACGGGGTCCTTATGGTATGACGTCAGAGAATTCGGCCGCACTCATCCCCTCACACCGGACGTAGTACGGGTCCATACCGAAGCAAGAGGCAGAGAGATAGACAAATCTCCGTAAAATATAAAATGCTGAATATTCCCTGCATTCCATCGAACGTAATACGGGTCCAAACGATGAAATGCAGGCAATCTACCATCGGCTCCATACCATGTCACCATGGTACGGAGAGAGACGGCACTATCAGATATACCCTTAAAACAACCACTAACCTATACATTTGAATCCGGCGTCATGACGTGGAAGCGGCGTCGGCGTCGGTAGAAACGGTACCTGGTGATGGTCGCTCTGCTGCTGCTGCTGCACCTGAAACAGTGAGACGGCGGTGTCCGTCTGCCTGCTAAAGCCGCGGTACTTCGGTTTCATTGTCACGACTGGTTTTCCCCACTCTGACGCGCGGGCTTGTGGTTGAGTACGGCGCGCGGCGATTCCGGAATATCGCGTATTGAAATATATTCAAGCGGGGAAATAATTAAAATCCAATTATACCGTAAGCACACATTCAACCCCAGGAAAATTAGGTAACATCGTTACACAATGTAACAACTTTGTACAGATATTTTTATTCTCCGGGGTACCTTAAAAAAAAATCCTAATAAAATTAATTTTATACAGTGTGTCCACTTAGGTTCGCAGCGTATGGGAAACTTTTTTATTATCAATTTTACAAAAAAAAGTTGTTCTTTATAAAAGTTTCTGCTTCTTCAAAAAATGATGTAAAACTATTGATATAGCGTGTATCTACAGAAAATAGAAAAACATACAGGGTGTTTCCTAAGTACAGTTCGTAACTTCAGGATGTGATTCCTTACAATATTATAATAAAAAAAAGTTCCCATAAACATGTTACCGGAAATGCGTAGTTTCTGAGAAACAGGGTGTCAAAGTTTTAGAAAAAATCATTTTTTTTAGCTTAAAAATCCCTTTTCTATTTTTTTTTTTTTCTTTGCCATATTTGGCAGGTTTTTTTGTGATAACGAAAGGTATCTTTTGACTGTAATATGAATTGCTTAATCTGAAAAAAATATCGAAGGTTTAATAAAATAGTGACGTGCTATTTTTTTTTTCAACTTTTACCAAAAAACCCTGTATATTTTTCTGTTTTCTCACCACCCTGTACATGTTATTTCAAGTCTTAATAGTTGAATACAATTTTTCCAGGAAGCAGAAACTTTTTTAAAGAATAACTTTTTTTCGTAAAATTGATAATAAAAAAGTTTCCCGTATGCTACGAACTTAAGTAGACACACGTATACAGGGTTCCAACTATTTCAAAGGGACGGCATTGATTGCTATCTCGGGAATGAATAAAGTTACGAGGGTGTTTGAATTAGAAAAAAGTTGCCATTTTTGAAGAATATTAAAAATATAATACATTTGAATTTGAACTATGTCTCTAAAATCAGTAAATTTTAAAATATTTGATAAAATTGTTTTTGCAAATTTTCAAAAGTCACCCTGTATTTGCGAAACTGATAAAAATATGGCAACAACGAAAATATATTTTTAATATTCTTCAAAAAAGGCAACTTTTTTCTAATTTAAATGCCCTCGTAACTTTAACCGTTCCCAAGATAGCAATACTGTCCCTATGAAATAGTTGGGACCCTGTATACACTTATCTTTATACAATATTATTATTAAGCATGCCAGGATGAAACGTTGCCAAATTTACGGTGTGTAAAAGAAAGTATTCACAATAAGGCAATACCGCATTGGGGGTCCGAGGGGATGATTCCAAGTACGAATTCTCAACCGCCTAGGCCTTAAAATAAAAAAAAATGGCATTCAAATCCATATAAGACCGACTGAGATCCTGCCCAACACCGATCCTGACACTGATTAGCCCTCGTATAAATTAGTAAAGAACAGTAAGGTGTAGTGACGCGGAAATAAACCACCATGAAAACAATTAAAGGTTCTGATTATTCTAAACAATTAAAGACCTAGGATCCAACTACCGAAAATTAATTAAGAATAACAAGGACTTATCAAACAACCATACCAGGAGAGATCAACACTTAGACAGCGCAACCAGAAACTTCAATTTTAAAATTATCTGTCGATATCCAGAAATTATTAGAAGCCGATATTGTCTAATACATTGGAATGTGACCAAAGCAAAAGTTCATGGACCTTTTTTAAGTGCTTTCAACAACTAACATTCCAAAGGAGCCGAAAAACTTCTAAGAGGATCAATAATTCATGCACGAGCCTATATGATGATACCCACTTAACAAACCACTTAGCGGCGCCCTTGATAATTAATTAAAAGGGGACCAGTTACACTAATTGATCGGATGATTCAACCATGAAAAATCGAGGTCAGAAAGAATAAAGAGATTCAAGACAATGGAGGGACCAATGTTATAAAAAGGCAAGAGTGTTCGAAAAAACCAGTATTCGAGAAATAACGAGTAAATCGCCAGAACTACGGCGTCGAAGACCAGTGTCGGTTGAGTAACCAAGAAACAAGTAGTAATCGAGAATCGAAAGACCTGTGTCCAGAAAGTCAGAACTACGGCGTGAAAAATTTGTCGAATTAACAGCGCGAAAATATTCGAGTTTTTTTTTATTAAGTGTTCATAATTAAAGTAAATTCTTTCGACCAATAAGATTTCCATGTAATTAGGTGTGGCCAGCAGTAAATTTATTATTGTAAAATATAAGTAGAGTTTGTTTTTGTTCAGCCCGAATTTGTGAAGGCTAGAGTGTGTATCGTGTCAAACGGTAAATGAAAAAATTTTACTTGGAATCATATAAATTTTCCTTAACAGTTAAATAGATGCTTATTATTAGAAATCTGACAAATTTATTGTAAGATTATATTTTTACCGACGCCTGTTAATTAATAACAAGCATTAATTATTTTAATAAAATAAACTTTATTTTAATTGATCACAATATTTCTGTGTTTTACTCTCGACCCGCAAATTGGACCCACTTTAAACTGTGTCCCCACTCAGA